GATGTACAAATTAGTGAGTGAGCTAGCTATTACCTACAACTTACTTTTTTCATAATTTGTGCTTTCTAAATTATTAAGAGATCATTTTTGTAGTTAAAACGAACAAAGAAATTCATCATATTATTCTGCAAATGTTTCTATATGAGAAAATTAACAACTACTGTAGGAAACTTGATTGACTTGAATTACAGCAACACTAGCTTGACAGACACTAATTTTGGAAAGGTATTTTGTACTGAAGGCTGGAATTCAAAGCAAGTGGAAGGCTTAGCATCTCCATGTGTTACTAAGCAACCTAAGGAACAAAACTTTAAGAGTAGATGAAAAAATGATTAACTTATAACAAATTATTTGTTGACATGTAGCAGCCATTCTGCAAAGCCACCTGAAATGAAACTTGCTATTGTATAGCAGAGAGCAGAATGACCGGTTTATGTTAAGCTGGATTAGTCATAGAAGTGTGTGCTGCTTTTGTAAAATATATCTTCCAGCTCTTTTTAAATAATACAGTTTCATTCAGTGCTTGCAGAAAGTTAAAAAAATTAAAATCATATAAAAATAAAAATAAAGAGAGAAGCAGTAATCTCATTCATCCCATTGGTCAGTAAGGCTTGTTAAGTAATAAGGATTAATAATCTTTTACAATATCACCTGCAAGCAGTGACCCTATTACTTGGGACAGGGTATAATTCATTGAGGCCACACACAAGATCCTGTTTATGACATGAAGTCTTATCTGGTACATATACAGCATGGCTTGTCAAGAAGAATGAGTCCCTGTTCTGTAATGTTATAGGTAATAATGTGGGGCAGTCTGTACAACCTTTTTTCAAACAGGCAGAAACTCAGGCCCTTTGAATTTGGGGGCTATGGTTCTTAGTCTACAAGTGCCCAGCTGAATTCAGTCAAAGCACTGTGCACAGAATCCTATGTATCTTTCCATATAATGTGAAAATAATTATTTGAAGAGTGACATCCACGTAGGGTATATGAGACACCTATTCCTATTGCAGCCCTGTGTAACAGAGCAGCAGTCAGATTCTTCAGTCCTGCAAGCAGGTGTTGCAACTTTTGGAGATGCTATTCATTGTAGCAGCTCCATCCTTAAATTCAAGGAGGCTGGAATGGCTGTTTATGCAGAGATGACTAATGTATAGGACAGGTAGGTACAACTACAGCTAGGCTTAGTTTACGTTGAATTACCAGTAAATCCAAAAGCCAGGAAGAGGGCAATTTTGTATTAAATGCAGCCTGTATAAATTCTGGTCAGAACAAGGTAAAAGGTCCATTCATCTATAATGCCAGTATCTTTTACTGGCATTCTAGGTACTGGCATTCTAGGTACCCCAGAAAATAAATAAGTGTACTTACATGCTAATGTAAGCCCTCCTGTTAAAAGCAAGTAAAATCAAATTCCTCTGCAGCTGAGAGTCAAGTGAAAGGGTTCATTTACTAGGTCAGCTGTTGCCACATGGATGTTTAATGTCTTTCTTTGTAAAATATTTTCAGCCCTATACTGAGTTGGCCTTCCTTTCACATAACTTTTCTTTATTGCAGTGTTAACAACTTAGCCACTCAAGGCTTTCTGAAAAGATCACAGAATATACTTTTATTCTTTGGGGCACAGGTTTGGCAGCACGTGCTGCAACCACATCAAGGTCAGTATGCCAAGGGAAAACAGCTCTCAGAATACCTCATTTTCGGTTCAGTTAATTTTCCCAACAAAAATCAGAGTTAAGTATTGGTAATCAGGATACAGCTGGGAAAATAAAGCCCACTAAATTCAGCCCTTTTTTTTTTTTTTTTTTTTGCAGTGAAGACTCACAGCAATGAGAAATTCCTGTTGGTGACTGAAAGCAGCAAATAAAAGCACAAGAACCAACTTTTGAAGAATAGTAGTTTAAGAAGTTAAACAGGTTATAGCGGATCCATTATGCTACTTGTTGGGAACAGCGATATAAGGAATTCAGAACATCCTGTAAATCGCTGTGGCATCCAATATTTTTACAGTACCATGAGTAACAGCTGGCTCAACAATTGGCCACTTAATTCTTGTTGGCATTTTTGTTTAGTAGCAAGTGCTTAAAATTGGGAGTGTAGAAGCCTTACTTTAATTCCACTTTGGCTTTCACTTGTGTCTGAGCAAGTTATCAGTAGATTCTTTTGGAAGATACAGGCCTAAACTTTAGTGGCACAGTTCTCATCTTGTATAGCTGAAGCTTGAACTTCAGAGGAGTAGCTAGTGGACACTTCTGAAAACACTGGCCATTATTTCTACTTCTGTTTTTCAGATGTAAATATCTATTGGTGCATTTGACAAGAACGCTAGGTGGACTAAGATTCAATGCATTTGAAACTTGTATCGTTTTTGGCATTGTTTGTTATTACTCTTTCTCCAGTGACCAGAGGAGAATTTCCAAGAAAGTATATTGTGGGAGTAAGAAGCCAGCACTTCCAGCTGATCCTGTTGTGAGCTAGATGCATATAAAGGCTGAAGGGAACTTTAACTACTAGTTTTGAGCTAACTACTGGGCATGTCTACATGTGCACATTTACTGCTCAATAACCGAAATTACTGCACAGTATGGGTACGTGTCTACATGTGCACACCTGTACTGTGCCCTGAATATGGCAACTTACACTGACTTGAGCATAAAATTTGATACCTGCATCATGCAGGTATCAAATTTATGCTTGATTACTGTGCAGTAGCACATGTGTAGATGTGTTACTGCACAGTAACCCAGGGGACCTCCCTGCTGGGCCTGCCCAGCCACTAGAGGGCTGGCTTGAACCCAATTGGAGCTCCCCCTGGTGGCCACAGGGGCACATGGCAGGCAGACTAAATTTAGTCCCAGGTCTCCCGCACACATGGATGCCGGCCTATTTCCGCTTTCTGAGCAGTAAATTTAAGCCAGCATAAATACACATGTAGACACGTCCACTGTTGAAGAAATCTTAGGGCCATTAGATGCAAGACTCCCAACTAGCTTCACTGCAGACAGGCAGGATTTAACTTGTGATTCAAATAGCTGTTTAAATAGAAACAAACTTTTTTTTTTTTTTTTTTTTTTTTTTTAAACCAGCAGTGGCAAATTTAGGCATTTATGCCAATCCATATGTATATTTGTTAGCAACTGAATTACCAGAGGAAGGAAAAAAAGAATGTAAACAGGAGGCTAAGTACCAGCTAATGAAAGCATATGAAGATGGTTTGAAGCAAACTTTCTGAAGATATATCAAGAACCTCAGAATAAAGTCAAAGGGAGTTTTTAGGGTGCCTGTATACAAATACAAGTAGCATGACAAAGACAGATAGGGGAACCAGAAGTACCTGCCCACAAAGGGGATTTCAACACCATAAGTTTAACTGAAACAGCCCGGGGAAGTGAAACTGAACAAGGGAGAGAGCTCAACACTGAACACCCCTGATCTGCATTCTGAGTTACTATGGGGTGTTTACATATATAAAAAAAAAAAATCACCCTGGTCATTTTCTTATTGTGGCTGTGCGAACAGTTCAGAAACTCTGAGTTAAGACAGTGTACCTCTGTGGGTTTTAGCAAGAGCATAAGGCGGCCCTTGCCCCCTTCCTATCCACACACACACAGATGATCTAATTCAATAGAAGGTAAGTGTCTCCTGATGTTGCAGTAAAGTGGCAAAACTTCATGTAATTAGGAACCTACTGCCATTATTAAAATATTATATATAATGCAGGTCAACCTTTCATTAAAAAGAATATAATGAATAAGAGAAGCTATGGGATGTAGAAGGTTAGTAAAAGAATTAGTTTCATGTATTCCTTAAAAAAAACAAACAAACACTCTCCCCCCAAAAAAATCCAATCCCAACCCCCTAAAAAGCATTTTATTATTTTATTTTATTGAGATTATGGATGTGATGGACATGGCAAACACTACTACCGATACCAAAAAAGATAAAAAGAGCTTTTTAAGGAACACACACAAATACAGAAGAGGAAGCATACTGGGGAGGGATGCTTATTCTAAGATGGGAAAATCACCTTCAATAATAAGGTGCTCCCCTTGCTGCTTTCCATTCACAGATCTTCTATTTAAACTGTAAAAAACTATATGCATAACTGTGTATTTCTTATACAGAGCACAGAGACGGCAGAGAGCACACAGATGGCTTATGCAAGTGTTAAAAAGAGCTTTTCACAGCAGACATTGCATTTAATGTTAAACATCCTCTCATTGACCTATGATATCTGAAATCAATCCATATCAGTAGAGAAAATACAATCAGACACACAGCACGTTTAATTAGCAGCTTTATTTGAAGTTTAAGGCATAATTTGCTGTCACATTATATTTACAGATCCCTTCTACCTCTTACATTATTGTACTCAAGTAGTAGAATCTTTGATATGCCTCCTGTAATTGGTATAAGTATATAGTACTAAATTAATAATGCCTAAGGTTCTTGATCAGAGAGACTACCTCCCTACAGAACTGTCATCCACTATCACAAACCAGAAGTCCATGACTAGCACAGTGTAATCAAAGGCAAATTAAAGTTTGAGAATGATCTTATCAATGATGACTCTCAACATTTCCAATAGTTAAGGTGCACATGCACTGTAAGTTGTCTCTGAGAGTTTAACACCACAAACTGGAATCAGGCACAGAGTATTTAGCACATGCTGTGCAAACTTCCCCACACAGCTGTCGTTGCCCTTTTCAAGCCTGATCCATAATAGCCTTCTGCTATTCTAGAACTCTTCTTCAGCTACTCAAACTGAAGCTTACAGTCACTGCATCATTTTGCTGTATGTGCATGTGCACAGGTGAAGATAACATTTGTTTTCACTTTTGATGCAGTTTGAGAAATTCAGTTACAGAAGTAAAAGTCTAGTGTGCCAACACATTAACTAACTCTCCTCTCAGATTGCAGTAAGTAGAGTCAATGGGCTGGTATACTACATGTAATACTTGTCCTATAGGATAAGTAGGATACCATTTTGTTTTGAATTTCCAGGCAGCTTGAAACCCAGCAGACAATGTAGCTGTTGCTTAAGAAATACAGAAATCTACATTGTATGCCAGGTTCACGCCCCAAACCCGGAGAGTCTTCTAGTGTCTGATCCTTACACTTCTCCAAATGGCTCCGAAAGCACACACTACTGCTTATGGTGCTCATTCTTCCAAACCTGTAGTTTAACATATCAGAAAGTGTGTTTTATCAAGAATACCAAATCAAAAAAATCATCAGGTAGGTCTTTTTTACACTTCCTTCCTTAGCCAGAGGTTTTGGAACAGTAGAGAACTATATTTATATTATAGGCCACATGACTACATGCTGGAGAAAATAGTGACACTTTCCTTAAAACCAAACCAAACCAAACCAAACCAACCCAACCCCTCTCTACCTCCCCAAGATTTTCTAACAAATCCAAACTGTAAACTGTATGTAACAAATATTTGAGTCCTTATTAAATATTTATCATTTCCAATGGATAACTCATTATTTATTTTGTATCTTGGAGCCACAAAGATCACTCATCATAGAGTGACAAATAATCTTCAGAAAACCACGTGGAAGCTACAAGATGTCATCAGAGACCCAGTAGCCAGATGTAGCTGCTGATTGTAAAAACAGAATCTACACTGACTACTGAGCGATTGATGGGCAACTATGAGTTCTGGGTTGACTGCTCCATGGCATTTCTTTGATGTCACCTGTGGAAACAGTAATAAGAAGAAATCAGTATAAAGTGTCCCATAGGGAAGATTAAACAGATTAAAAACATTGCACATCTTCAAAAATTTACAGATGGTGTTACAAAGCAATCCTGCCTTAAAAAGTAAACAGAAAAGTGTTTTGTCAGGATAGAAAGCTGAAAGCACATTAGTTCCAAGAGAATAATTTTATATATGCAATTATGTATACTATAAGTAACAAGTGAAACATGGTATTCTTGTAGTTCTATCTTTTAAATCTGGTTTCTGAAACAGCCTAAAGGATTTTTATATTTAAACATATACTTCTTTCAAAACAGCACTATATAAAAATGACTGCAAATTAAAAAGTACAGTACCAGGACTCTGCAACTAAAGGCAAAGTAAATTTTTCCAGCTTGTATGTCCTAAAGCATTGTTAAAGTACTAGGAAAAAGTTGTTAATTAATTTAAAACAACCTCTCATCCGTTTTTGAAAGATGCATGTGATAAATAAAAATACACTTCCAAGAAGTATAGCTAATATATACTGCAACGATAAGATAGGCATCCCAAGTTACTACACAGAGAAATACACAATTGCTGGGTATTTCAGTGGAACAGTGTATTCAAAGCAACATAGAAAGTGAAATGTTGTCAAAATATACTTCAAATCTCATGAGTCTGTATACAAAAACAACAGAACATGCTTCAAAATTCAATACATTACCAATTCTGCGTAAATTTAGCAGGTCTCAGAAAATTAGACCCTCACATAGCACTGTTCAAGTTGTGCATTGCTACAATAAGAAATACAATATACAGCAATTCACATTTACAATCAATTGCTGGATTTTATTCCTGCTTTTTATTGAATTAATTATTTTGCTACTGAAGGACTTGCCAGAATGGAGAGCATCACATTTGAGAATGGGTATGACTCCTTAAAATTTTAATGAAAAAATTCTTTTTAATGTCTTGGTACTGATATTTTAGAAAGTTAATGTTTAAAATCAGAAAATAAGAGGTCAGTAAAGGGGAAAAACAACCCCCTCCCTCTACCTTTAAAAGTCATTTTTTTTGTTATAAAACTTTTTTTAAAAACTAAAAAAGAAATAAAGTAGGAAAATTAAACCTTCCCCCAAGCCATATGCAACTTTGCTAAAACAGCTTTACCATTAATCCATAAAATGTGTTTTGCAATAAGACTGATTGGATAGTAGGACAAAAGATAATCATTTGAAAAACAAAATTTAATACGGTTTTATTGCCAAATAAAGCAGTTGTTGCTTTATAATACTTAAAAAGGGAGTTAGAGTAGCAAGCATGTTCTGCAGTGCTTGGCTCACAATAAAATTTCAAAGCAGATGTAAGAGGTTTTTTTCTGAATACCATGTATAGCACCAAATCCCTATTGAATCTCTCCTGAATCTACTCCAGGGCTAGGGACAGAAGTTACACAAAATGGTTTAAGTGATCAGAAACTGGTTTAAACCTGTAACAGAATAGAAGCTCAGTGAACTGAGTGAAAATGGCTGAAACTGTTTTAAGATAAACCTGGTTGAATGTATGATCAGGCATAATTAATTTAGGTCAAACTGGTTTATGAAACTTCTGTCTCAAACCCCTTCCTGCTTCAAGTTAAATCAGAGTCCCCCAAAATCTCAGCATTTTGCAGCCCTGGACTGTGATGTCTGCTCGAGAGACCAGAGCTGGCCCTGCCCCTCTGCTCCCTAGCTTAAGCAGTGAGGGCTGGCTCACTAGTCCCCTCAGGCAAACCCGGCTGGGGTCTGGGTCCAGGGAGGGGAGTGTTAAACATCCATTGTCCTGAGTATGGAGCGGTCTTGCCCTGCTTACTTAGTACTGGCTGCAACTAGACTACAAATCCCAGAGGCACCTAGAAGCAGGAAGAAAAAGTGATGAGCAATACTGCAGAGTCCAGCTGCTGCAAGTCTAGACTTCAAATCCCAGAGATCTTAGGGGCAGCAGGAAGAGGAAATGAACACACAGCCTATGCTATGTGCCAAAGAGCCAGGCTGTAGCATATCCTCCCCCACCCAAGCATCTGGCTTGATCTGCTGCAAGCATGTGGCTGCATTTCCTGAATCAAAAGTGAATGTCTGTTCATTTGCTTATTGGTTCAATCTTTGCAGCTTGGACTGGACTAACCTGCAAAGACTGAATCAATTCAGCCTCAGGCTTTTTGACTGCCTGTACTTAACCCAGAAGACCATCCCAAATACCTCAGCCTATCTAGGCTAGCATTGTCACTGTTGCTAGCATTAGTTCAGCCACATTAATAGTGGGAAACAGTTATGCAAGTCTGCTAGTTTATAGTGCTACAATGATGTAAATTAACAAACATGGACTACCAAAGGGACCACCCCATTGTTCTTCCTTGGTTGAGCTAGGAAAGTACTGCCTGGCAGTCACTCCCTATGTCACTAATGACAATCTCTATAGGAACTGCTTCACATTATGTCCTGAAGCCAGCGAGCCCTTTTCCAGGGCTAGGAAATAGTGCTGCAGGCTTTGCAGTCAGTTGAAGCAAGAGCTTGTAAACTCAGACATTCAAAAAGCCTGAATTGATTCAGTCTTTGCAGGTTAGTCTAACCTGGCTAGGCTAAATCAGTTTTGTAACCGGACAGACATCCCAGAAATGCCGGCACATGCCTACAGTAGCTCAGGCTAGAAGATGGGGGGTGCTAGAACACCCCCTCCTTTCACACCATGGAGCTGAGGGGGGCATGGCCAGGATGGCAGGAGCTCTGATTAGCCCAGCAG